AACCCCCAAAACCCCAAAACCCCAAAACCCCAAAACCCCGAAGAAGAGACCTCTCATTGATTCAATTGTAATATATTATATTAAAAATGGGGAATAGAGGAAGTAGAACTGTGAATACCAGAAGAGTCGAACAGAAGGAAATCCCAATAATCAAGTCTTATAATAACATTAAGAAAGAAACAATTTGCTTAAAGAAGACTTACAAGGAGAGTGACGACATTTATTCTTTAGGGTTTAACTTCTCTTGAACTAGTGATGCTTTGATCACGATATACCTTTGCTGTACTGAATTCAGATCTAAGGATCCTTCCTGCCCACCAGTGTATTTCCACACACCGGATTATGTTCCGGTAAGACCTATGAGTTATAAGTTCTCCGAAGGGAATAAGCAGACTTTCCCAGAGAGGGCATTCACAATTGATTTCTCCAAGTTCAGTGAAGAGGATGTGAATAGCTATATTGAAGGTGAATATTATCCAATTATTATTACTATTGAGGCAGACTACCCTCAGCCAATCAGAAATGACCTCAGGTTCTACCGTGAGAACAAGAGACAAGCTCAGATAACATATGGCTACTTCATGAAAAATAGTAGCGGGGAGTATAATTTCCTTATCTCCAAACAATGATTCCTATTTAGAGATAAAATATTTAGGGTAGAAGATATTTACGGATTTGAGAAACATGACGATACTGGTGTAGAAGTATTCGATGACTCCCAAAAGGAATGAGTCATATGATACTCCAATATAAAAGATACCATTGTATATCCCTGTAGACACATTTGCCTTTGTGCCCAATGCACTCAGGTAGTCAGAATGCAAAACTCGAAATGCCCTATATGCAGAGCTCAAGCGGATAAGTTTATAACAGTGAATGTGATCAAAGACTGAATTAGCTCCCCTGGAGAAGATGAAGGTTTCATTCCAAGAATTAATAGTTAAACTTTTCTTAAACTTATTTGTGATTGGATTCTGAAAATTTAAAAATGATGTAATATGTAGCAAAATTTATGCTTTTTTGATCAATATTCTATCTTAAACCTTATGTTCAATTACTAATTCTTTATCAGGGGTTTTGGGGTTTTGGGGTTTTGGGGTTTTGGGGTTTTGGGGTTTTGGGGTTTTGGGG